ACTTACTTACTACCTCACTTTTCTTTCTTGCAGGACCCATGGGGACCTTCATAGACATTTAAAAAGACATATAATTGGGGAGAAATGCTCTTTGAATTACAGTGGTGAAAAAGTTTCAGAAGGTTAGAAACAGCTTAATAAATAACTTATAGAGAAATAAAATAAATGAGTAATAATAAGTGCTTAGCTCATGGTTGCACACTTGTGACGGAGAGGAGCAAACATAGATGGTATTCTGAGCTCCTATCAAAAGACACTTCCAGGTTGAGTCCACCTACTCTGACCTTCTGGTGCTTCCAGTCCATCTCGGTGAAAGAATATGTTAGCAGGAAGGATGAGAAAATGCTGATTTGTTCCTTCCAGCCAGATGCTGTATGTTTCCTGGGTAAATAAATTTTAAGGAAATGATCAAAGAGATAGTTAAATATTAAATAGCTGCCTCCAGTGCCTCAAGGACAAAACCACAAGGATGGGCTTTCCTGTTTGATATGCACGTTTTACTCTTTATCAGTTGCCAACTCTGGAGAATTTGAAGCTATTCTGCTGTGTAAATCCCAGTCGTTCCACTGCACAGATAAAGGAATTCAACCAAAAATCCAAAACTCTGCCGCATGTTCTGGGGAAGACGCTGAAATACACCAAGAATTATTGGTTTTGTACAGCCCATTATTCAACAGTACTCCAGACGAAGCCTAACCAGTGCTGAATAGAGGAAAACTAGTACCTCACGGGATTAAGAGACTATATTTCTGTTAGAGGAAGGAAGATGTCTGGAAGAGCCCTCCCTACATGACCTTAACCAGTGACCGGTCTCACACAGACCTACTCCATGGGGCTGTTGTTGAGATGAAGGAGGAATGAGGAGAGCTATGTCTAGGATGCGTCCCCTTGATCTCTTTGCAAGAAAAGTGTGGTACGCCATTGACAACAGGAATATGAAAGGGGGCACAGATAATTTGCCAGTGGCTGAGCTCTCTGGCTGTGGAGCCAGAGGTTGGGAGTTCGATTCCCGCCCTGTGCCTCCTTGACAGGGGCTGGAGTTCTAAGATGATG